TTTAAACTTTGTTTTTAGTCTAATAGTAATATAATTTGTATTTGAGCACCGACAAGACTGTCAAAGAATTAAAAAAATAAAAAAATAAAAATTTACAAAAATTGATAATTTAATTTTGATAATATTTAAATTTTAATTGGTAATAGAAATTTTTTGTGTAACAAAAACAATTTATTTACCAATCAAATTTTTTGTTTTAATTCTACAGACTCTTTTGCTAACATGTCGGGAAACATTGATAAATAATTTTTATTTTTGCAATTTCTTGTTGTTTTTGATCTGGAAAATATGATTTTTTATAATGTAATAAAATTTGTATATTATTTATATTTTTAGTAATACAGTCTATATCAAAAATTCAAACTACATTATATTGTCCAACAAACTAATCTGTCTATATAGGCAGTGTAGCTAGTAATTTAATAAACATAAGTAAAGATAAACTTAAAGATTTGGCTTTACCTATCACAAAAGGAAAAACATTTCATATTTTAAAAAACTTGAGCATAAGTAAATTAAAAATTCTTACTGTATTTATTTATAAAAAAATTTTTACTTGTTTTTATTTATAATAAAAATTTTTAATTTTATTTTAATAAAATTTAGCTATAGTCATCTTCATTTTGATTCTAAAAAAACTGCCATAGAATTTTTTATGTATATTAAAGATAAATTTTTTATTATCAAGAATATGAAATTAGGAAAAATTAAAGTTTACTTTAAAGAATCTTATAATTATAATAATAACTCAGACAACAAGAAAATTTTAATTATATCCAATAAAGTAAAAATAATTCTACAAAGTCAATTTCTTTTAAAGACAAAGGAAAACAATGCGAATCAACTAGTTTATTATTATCATTTAAAAACAAAGAAAAACAATGATCTAAATTAAGAAGATGTGATTCTAGAAGTTTTATAGAATTTTTGAAGAAAGACCAAGATTTTATGAATTTGGACATTACTGAAAACTTTTTTAGCAGACTTCAAGAGGAAGAAATTAATGATTATTCATTTATCAAATTAAAAAAAGATGATCTTAGAGAATGTGAATTGCGAATTGGTCTCGCAATCAAAGTTAAGGACTACATAGGTGGTTTAGATTGTTAATTAAATGATAATTTAATAATTTTTTAATTAACTTTAAATTTTAAATATAGAGTTATACAACAAAAATCTTAGAAAATGACAATTTGTTGAAATTGATGATTAAAATTAACATCTAAGTTTATTAATCATTTATGTAGTTAGTTTTTAAAATGAATTAATAAAATATATGCATAAATTTAATGCTTCTTTAATAAATTTTTAAATATAATACTATGTTTAAGTGGAAATTTATAAACATAGTAAAATTTTCAAGTATAAAAATCTAAAGTGTAATGACAATAAATAACTAACAATTATAAATAGTTATTATATGCACAGAACTATCAAACTCTTTCCAACGATCATTTGGACCAAAATTACCAACTAAAAGAAGAAATAAGAAGTCTGTTGAAGAGTTGTATAAACTATTAGAATGGTTTGTAGAAAGGTTAACTGGCTCTAGGGACTTCTTTCTACGTTCGACATGCAAGCCAGAAGCCTCACCGAGTAACAGTGAAGAAAGCAGGCGGCGCTTATTACTCAAGAATAAATTT